GCCGCCGGCCAGCCGGATAATTGGTGGCCGAAAGCAATACCTCCAGAAAGGGCACGGATTAATGGATGGTTCTTTTTCAGTCACTTCCGTCACATTGAAATACATTGGTTAAATTGGAAATATTAGCGAATAGCGATGCCACTCATTACAGCTTATACGTTTAACATCATCATTGCTTTTTTATATATATTTAGCTATAGATAACTTGAATCATGTTTTGAATCATGAATCATGAATTATGAATCATGATTTATGAATCATGTTTCATTTTTTCTGTGATTTAGCAATATATGCGCAATAGAAAAGATGTCTCAGGCATCCAACTGGTATATTAAATCTGTAGGTATGCATACGGGTGACAATTTCAAAGCTGCGGTCCGCCGACCACCCACATTGATAAGAACAACTGAAGATATTAGCTTGCAGCTGCAGTCTCTCTTCGTCGACAGTATTTATTGACCACGCTCAGAGCTAATCAGACCAGTCTCCTACTGCCTTCATTCAACTGATGCGTCCCAATTGGTGGGTGAGATGGTGCCTGCTGCCTTTTCAGTTCTATAAAACCAGACCGACGCGCTCTTCTGACCATTGTGGAACTTTGACGGAACGTTTCACCTATTGCGTATAAAGTGCGAGCTGCTGTGCCACTAGAACAGTTTTCTGACCATTTGTCTATATTCCTGGAAATGCAAGTTTTATCCTTCGCCGGCACAGGCCATTTTGAGTACTTCGACGGCACAAGGGTACAACCCCCCCTCGCGTTTGGCCCCTGATGGAGCTAGAGCTTCGGGGAAAAAAAACGAGCGTGTTGCCCGTCACGAGAGGAAGCCGATGATATCCAATTTTAAGGTCCTAGGTCATCGGGTGACCTTCCAGGTCAGGTCAATGACCCGAAAATCGGGAAAATCGGGACCCGTTAGAAAGTCGTAAAGTGTGGCTGCTATGAGGTTTTTCGGGGTGCTGATCACGAATATCGTGTGTGTTAGTTTTTATCAGAGATTATGTTTTTAAGCATTTAGACCAGGTCGGGTCAGGTCAGGTCAGGTCAACCGGTAGGGGTCGTGACGGGTATTCGTAATACGTGTCAACCGCCTCTGACAGCTTCGTAACATGTTACGAAGGCACCAAAACTACTTCGTAAATGTTAAAATGGCTGCTAATTCGAAACCAGCTCCAAAAACTAGCCTAGAAACATGTAAAACTCGAAAAAGTGAACCGAGGTCACCAAAGGTCAATGACCTGACCTGATCTTCAGGTGACCTTGACACACACCCTAATGCATGGGAGCAACATAAAATCACATGTTTGAACGTTTGAAACCACGAAAAGCTTGCAAACGCGCGGCTAATGCGAGCCGACATACGCCGAATCGCGATTCCGGCCAAACATGGTCTCGGAAAAGAGGCCACAGGTCAAAGGTCATTTGGGTCAGGGTCATGAAATTTTCAGGGTAGATGTAAAATTGATCAATGCGAGGGTACTGAAAGTTTCGTTGAGATCGGCCGTTTTTACGCGAGTTATTCGCGAAAAACCTTAGGGGGGTTGCATCAACCCCCCCCCCCCTGTGCCGGCGCGGCGAGGGTTATTTTAAGCGAGTCAGGTCGCCTAGAGAAACAAAAAAAAAAAACACACAAATCAATCTATGTTCTTCAAAAATCGAAGAGTGGTGTCCGGTCACGGCGGAACAAATGGTCACGTTTCACATGGTTTCCCTAAGTAACATAGGTATATCCATTTTTCTAAGTTATTTTACTAAGTAAATAAAACACATTTTTGAAGCTAATGAATGACGTTAGAGCGGCGGTAGGCACTGATGAACCTTTTCAATTTTTCTTTTCAGGAAATTTTCAATTTGTTAAAATTTACACCCGATCTGCGGCGATGAAATGATAAAAATGCCAATAAGTTAGGAAGATATGCACATTAATGTTACACATAAATGTGTATGTACACTGCGCATGAATACCAACGGAAGTCTGAATGTTTTGGTAATCCTTCTCTCGCATAATCACAGCAATCGCATAACGAATATCATGCCTATCTTTCACGATAAAGTCATGTTCTGTCTTTCTGGATGATGTCATGTCGTGTCATGGCGTGCAGCTCGATGTCTTTATGTATTTACCCGTAACTGTACGAGGAATAGTCGTGGTGGAATCGCTGCTGTTCTGTCACGGAAAGTCGCCATCAGTCGTTTGGCGGCTCACACACAACTATATACTCAACAGTCTGTCGCTTATTAATAGGTACTGCATTTTCAGGATGCCGTGTTTTTGCACGGAGGATTAATCACGAAAAAAAGTCTAATTATTTTATATACCGCTCCGATATATCAGCATTATCCAATAAATCAGTACACCATACAGGCCGTTTTCGCGACGGAACTTTCGCGGTGGAGCCTATTTGATACCTGGAAAGTACCAACTCTTTAAGGCTTTAGAATCATTACAACTAAAGTCTTTTGCCTTCAAAATATTTTCAAAAGTTGCAATCCAGGCGATTTTGGCCATCAAATCGCTTATTTATTTACAAACAAGTCAAATTTCGGTTCTAGTAGCCCACCTTTCGACTGTGAGGGATCAAATCAGCCTGGCAGCTAGATATCCGGCTTCTGTTTCACCGGCCCGACGCTGCGCGCGCCCTGGTGGTGACCGGGCGCAACAAATCCGCCGCCGCCTTGGCAGTGGCATTGACTTCCGCCGTCTGCTGCGGTTCCAAAGTCAAGCAAGCGTGGAATTGGGAGAGCTCAGTCACCCGCAGCTGGCAGCTAGTAGGTATATTTCCTTATCATTGTGCTAGCATTATATAGATATGCTGATTTCATAAACGTGCTTACGCTTTAGGTTTACGTGAGTGGTACCTAAACCCTTAGATAAAATAAATTAATGTAATATTTAGTAGAAAAACAGCAAAGTAACGGGCCACTTATTCGAAAGATAGAAAACCTACTACAAAGAACTCCTAAAATTCCTCAGGCATCAAAGGAAACTACTAAAATTCCTGAGGTATCAAAGGACCAAACAGGCATCTATTAGGTACCCGCTATTCCGTCGTGAAAACGGCTACAATGTACCTACTGCTTATCTCATTCTACATATTCCACACAGCGCTGCCCACAGCGGATGTCGGGCGGTTGCAGGGTATTCGGGCGGTTGGTCGGTCCGCCTGTCTGTCGGTCTTTCCGTCGGTCAGACGGTCGGTCTTTCCGTCGGTCAGACGGTCGGTCTTTCCGTCGGTCAGTCGGCCGGTCGGCCGGCGGTCTGTCGGTTTGTCGGTTTGGTGGTCTGTCAGTCTGTCTGTCACTCTGTCGCTCTGTCTGCCTGTCACTCCGTCGCTCTGTCGTTCTGTCGGTCGATCTGCCTGTCGCTCGCTCTGTCGGCCGGTCGGTCGCTCGGTCGGCCGGCCGGCCGGTCCTCCGCCGGTCTCAGCTGGTCGCTCTGGCCGGCCTCCCCAGAGCGACACCTGTTATTACCGGAGCTAACAGGGCCGATGGTAATCTCATCAGCGCTGCCCGCGGGACCACCGGCGACGCCGCCGCGGGGCACTGATGGCCCTCTCGAGTGTCCGAGGACTGCACTGCGCCGCGCGGATGTAGGGCACGTCAACACGGCGCGCAATACTGGCGATCGGAATGACTGCAATGCATAGTCGTCTCGGTAATGCGACGCAGTGCTCCTGATGGATGTAAGATGTAATGTATATTGCGCAAGATATAAGACGAAAGACGTCATTAGCTTGTGCTACAGACCGGTACCTATCTACCGGCTAATTCGGCCCCAGACTCTATAAGCCGCATCGTGGTTTATTATTTCGTCCAGCCTCCCTTCTTCGCCGTGCGGTGAGTCGTGCGGCACAGCATAAATTCAGGCGCTATGGTGCGGAGAGTCTTGCGGCACAGTATCAATTCAGGCGTTTGACACCAGCGCCATCTATGGACCGGCATATGAAGTGTGCGGCACAGCCTACCTTACAGGCGCTCTCGGCCGGTCCGTCCGCAAAAAATGCGAGGAAGTGTAGGTAGATGGGAGGGCGATGCAATGACGAAGTAAAACGATTTGTTTAGAGCTACTAAAGTCCCATGCCCGTGAATATCGTGACATGTTCATTGTTCAGTGTAATGCAATACAAACAGTAAGTGAAGTGCATAACGGGCAATTACGTACGACGTATGGGGTACTAATTACTAGTAGTAGATAATTCCTCCGGAGTAGGGAATTTTGACGCGTCGTTTGAATGAACCCAGACCCTATTTCCATTTGGAACTAATAACCCGCTGTGCATTTGCATAGCGGCTGCACCTCACTGACAGTTGCTGATCCGATTAGTGTGGTCTGCTCTGCGCTTCCGGACTAATTACCGTACTGCCGGACATGTTAGTTCGCAGGACAGATGTCAGACATTAATTTAACGTGTCAGGAATCCATAAACCCGCCATCATAACTCCTTCCTACTTATCTCCGGCTGCGCTGCCTGAAACCAGAGGTAACCGTACCACCGAGGAACTGCCTCAATGGAAGGCTCTCTTGGCACCGACCACGTGAAACCCACTCAGACCCCGGGTTTTTCCCTCGCCGCATTTTACCGCGCTCCGCCAGTCGCCACCGAGCTGTCTGCACGTCGCCGCGATCACAAATCAATGGCGCCACGCACGCGGGTCAGGTCGATGCAGCGCCGAGCACCGGGCAGTGGTCGGGCGGGCGGTCGGTACCTCCATTCAGGCAGGACTGGGCCCGGACGGCCACCGGCAGCGGTACAGCGGTGGTGGCTTTGTCAGTGACGGGTCATTGCCGCCGGCCGGGATTAGCCGCGGAGACCTCCGGGCGGCGAGCGTCGAACCAATGTCGGGCCGTTCCGGCGGCGGCGGGAGAGGTAACGGCTGGTACTGTGGTGCCAGTCCGAGGGACGCCGGTAGTTCGAGAGGCAAGTATAGACTGTTCAATAGGCCGTGGACGGAAAAGCAGCAGTATCGTGAAGGAAAATTATCGATTCAGGCCGAAACATGTCGTCAAACATGTATTCATAAAATCAGCACTTTTATAATGCTTCGGCGAGACGGCTAATGCACAATCAACAATACAAACGGTAACAACAAACCGTAATAAAAGTACACTTGATCAAGGCAGTACCCCCACACTCACCACGCTCTCAGACACTGTGACTAGAAAATGCCTCTCCTGCACCCATGCCACAAGGCACAAACGGGACAAAACCACGAAAGTGGCGCCCGTGAGTGCACAAACAGGGAAGGATGACGGAGATATGAAGGAGACGGAACTGGCATCACTCCGCCAGTGGCTTCAGTGAATAGCTTGCAGCGATCTAAAGCACAAAGACAATGAAAAAAGTGCATAAAATGTGTGTTGTGAATTATCTGACGAGCATATCTCAATAACAGCCGAAAGCAGTCTGGTGCTCACTGCGAACTCCATGCGCAGCCTGACCAATCGGCAGGTCTTTCTTAATTTCTGGCATAATCTAGAATGCAGCGCAGTCAAAAGACAGCGAGGTTGGGAAGCAAGTGGACACTGCTGCTTGCATAAATCAGATCTGTCCCAGGATTGCCGCACGAGGCAGTTCCCGAATCATCAGATATAGATGTCGCGCAGGTGGCGAGGTCACACCAGCCGGCCCATATAGAGGGCGCGCGGGTAGCGTTGTAGCAGCTCCGGCCACTGCACAATCACGTCGTCAGCTAGCCGGTACAGAATCTGGCCGCTGAGCGAAAGGGAGCGCACGCGACACACGCTCTCCACAAAGGTCACGTGCACCGGCCTCCAGAGCAGCCACTGAAACAGAGCCAACGGGACGGGTAGTCACTGGGGAGCTGTACTCAATGAACACGCTTGACGCTACATCCATGATCGAGAAAAAAAAAGATAAAAGCCCAGGTATGACTTGAAACCGATTTGTTTAGGCCATGGAAACTAAAACTAAAGCGCATGCACTAGAGAACCGAGTAGAAAAAAAACATGGGTAATTCCGTAGCGATCATCTACCAAAAACCGGTCAATTCACGATAGTATTTGTCTTACAATGAACAAAAGACTGACTCAACCATGCCCTGTGGCGCCAAGCCGATGTGCATGTGAACTCTAAAACACGAGCAGTGGTTTCAGAGTACCCACTTACCTTCATGAGCAGCGCGGACAGGCAGACGGGGACGCAGGTACCGGGTCCGTTCGCCAGCACCTGGGTCAACAGGCGGGTAAACGTGCGTCATCGATCCACAATCTACATACGTTAGTAAATAGATTGCAGAGATATCAATTTCACAGCGAGCTGCCGCATATTTCTGCGGAAATCTCTAAACAGGTGAGAAAACGGCTCCCGGTGCCCCCGTTGGCTGACAATACGTGCGGTTATGAAATTCTACACTATCGCCTTTCCACGCAGCGGTCCAGTCGGCAACGACAACAGCAGGATCAATCAGAGCTTTACCCAATCCTTCTTCCTCAATAAGTAAATCACGGGCTATTTTTCAAGACCTTACCACAGTTCAATTTATTCCGATATCTCCCAGATAGACCTCCCAGTATCAGTGAACCCGGAAATCACCAATCCATCGCCGTATCATCCTGCCCTGCTATCCCTCCCTCACCCTGAGAGCAGAATGCACTCACCCTCTCCGTGCCCCCCCCCCCCCTCCCACTCACCAGGCGCGGTCGTACGGTGAACACCAGGCGAAGCGCGGCCAGCATCGCCACGGCCGTGGTCCACACACTGGACACCCACGACTGGCCGACGCACCGGCTGCGGGGGATCGTCTCCAGGCGCGCGGCGTCCTCCTCCTCCGTCCGCAGGGCGCGCTCCCCGCTCAGTGAGTCGCCAGCGGCAGCCACGTACACCCGGGGACAGAACCGGCGCCGGTCCAGGGCCGCGGCCAGCGACAGCATCTCGGACGTGTGACCGCCTGCGGAGAGAGGCACCGCGACCGGAGCCGTGAGAGGGAGGGAGGGAGTGGGAGTGGGGAGTGGCGAGAGGGCAGGGTGAATGTGGGAGTCGGGTAGAGGTGAGGATTGCTAGTAAAACGTTCACTTTGTTTGAATAAAAAGATGTCAAACACGAATACGAAACAAGCAAGCTGGACGAGTCTAAAACAGATAAAACAGGCAGTTCTTGAGACGGGTAAAATATCAGTAAAAGGCACATGGAGTTCCTTCCAGCCGATTGAGCGCCTGTAGTCCCGAGATTCCCTCTCGTCAATCCGGCAATATTCGTCCCCGACCGCCTAAGGACGACTCATTGTCAGTGCAGTCCTCTCCGCATTCGGCATCAGATCCTAGAGCCATTCAAAGCGAGCGAGACGAAGCTTGATCAACCGTCCACCCTTCACTGCATAATTATCACCCAGAGGTCGTCGAGTATCACTGGAATCAAAGACGGAGGCAGCATCTAGGTGACCGCCCTGGCGCGTCATCAGCATCACTGAAGTCAGTGTGACGTTAGCCGGTGGTGAACGTCACGTCCAGGTTCTCCATCAGCGCCTCGATCTGCAGCTGCTCCCACACCTCCGGCTCCACGGCGATGCCCTCCACGTTTCCGAGGCTGCTCAGCTGCGGGCACGAGTCCAGCAGCGCCCGAACGCCGCGCACGTGCAGCTGCGGCGCCCAGCCGAGCCACAGCTGCTGCAGCTGGCGGCACCGGCCGGCCGCCAGCTGCCGCACCAGCTGCGCGTCCGTCAGCTGCTCGGCGCCGTCCACGGTGAGCCGCTGCAGCCGCTCGGCGGCCAGCAGCAGCTCCCAGGCGGCGGCCGGCGCGGCCGTCATCAGCAGGCGCGCCTCCAGCAGGTGCGGCCAGGCCGCCGGGCCGGCCGACAGCCCGGCGGCCGGTCCCGGCGGCAGCGGGGGCTCCTCCGGCGCCGCCAGCTCCGCCTGCACCAGCTCCAGCTTCTGCAGCCGCGGCGTGAGCTGCGCCAGCTCCGTCAGGTCCAGCGGGCCGCGCGGCTGCAGCAGCTCCAACCACACCAGCCGTCCGCCGAGCTGCGCCGTCACGGCCGCCGCCGGCGCCCGGCGCAGTTTGAGCTTCTGCAGCGCGGCCAGCCGGCGGAGCAGCGGCACGGCGTCCTCGTGCGGCGAGTCCAGGTAGAGGCCGCGCAGGTGGGGGCAGGCGGCGGTCAGCTCGGCCATCTGCGCCCGGTCCGTGACGCAGGCGTGCAGGTAGGTGAGCCGACAGGTGGCGATCGCGCCGCGCCGCCGCGCCGCCAGCACACACTCGGCGCCGTGCTCGTTCTCTCCGAGACAGACGAGCCGCGGCAGGGCGGACAGCAGGGCGACGCCGGCCGACGGGTCGTCACCGCGCCGGCCCGGGCAGCCGAGCCGCACCACCGTCAGCCGGCGGTGCGCGCCGCCGGCCACCAGCGCCGCGGCGCCCGCCCCCGTCACCTCCCGCGACATGGACACGTCGAGCAGCTGCAGCCGCGGACAGCTGCCGGCCAGCTGCTGCAGCAGCCGGTCTGACGCCACGTGCGGCACCACCAGCTGCTCCAGCGCCGGCAGCTGCGGCAGCAGCTCCCCGAGCCGCTCTAGCTCGGGCTGGGCCAGCCAGGCGCCGCGCAGGTCCAGCAGCGCCAGCGAGCCGCCGCCGTCGGCCAGCGCGGCCATCAGGGCGGCGTGCTGCCGCTCCGGCAGGGAGCCCGTCACCAGCCGACTGACGCCGGGCGCCAGCAGCGCGGCCAGCGCCGTGGCGCGCACCCGCGCCGGCAGCAGGCCGTCGCGCAGCGTCTCGTCCAGCAGCGCCTGCAGGCCCGGCCCGGGCAGACGGGCCAGCAGGGCGGCGCGCAGCCGGCGCAGCGCCGCCGAGCGCAGCACCAGCTGCAGCTCATCGTCGGCGGCGGCGGCGGCGCCGGCCGACGGCAGCAGCGCCGCCTGCCAGACGGCGTCGGCGGCCGACCACAGCCACAGCACGGCCTCGGACAGGCAGAGTCGGTACAGGGCCGGCGGCTGGCGGCGCGGCGGCATCGCCACCACCTGCCGGCAGCGGCGGCCGGCGTCAGAGACAGAGCGGCAGGGCACGGACGGTCCAGACACAAACGGAAATAACACATCATTGACGTTCATACTGAAATGAAAGAAACTGGTCGGTTATCTTTAAAACCAATTAAATGGGTGGCCGAAAGTCAGGAAAATCAAGCAGAATTCCAAGCAACAAATGAAACGCATAAACTTCTCTCAGCGTTATAACACGCCCTTTGACAAATTTAGCAATCAGCAAGGCAGCGACATGCAGCTTTCAGATGTCCACACTGATAAACGTTCAACGGGACTCACCTGGCCGCGCGTGGACGCCGTCTCGAGGTCGCAACTAAAGCTACTGACGGGTGTCTCTGACTTCTATGTGAGGCTCCGCGGAATGGCTGCATGCCCTCCAATCGGTATGTCCCGGACGGAGGCTCGCACATCTCTGCACTTTGCCCGAGTGTGAGATCACTGTATGATACTTTTTGAAGAACCTATCCTGTCGATCTTTGCTGACCCGAACATTTCATTCACTATGTCTCTCCACAGTCTTTTCTAGCATGAAGCATCCAAGCCCCATGACCCAGTACACGGAAAATGCACAGCCCTTCAGTTTCGCAGCGGCGCCGCCTGAGGCTCCTCGCTCCTCCGCGCGGCACCCTGTCTGCACAGCACGCGCACCTTTAGCGCCAGATTCTCGGCCCTGGCCCTCTCCCGCACGTCGTCCACCTCGTTATACTGTGTCCAGTCGTGTGTCACAATGGTCAGCTCCCGCAGCCGCGGCCGGCCGCCGATCAGCGTCCAGAGCGAGTCTGACGTCACTGCGCCGCCGGCCAGCGTCAGCTGTTGGCAGCCGGGCGGCACCAGCCTCTCCAGTTCGCCCTCAGAGAGAGGCTCCAGCACGCCTAGCTGCAGGCTGCTGAGGTGCGGCGACCGCTCCAGCACCGGCAGCAGCTGCGCTGCCGTCAGCGCCGAGCGGGCCGCCCGCCAGCCGGCCGTCTGCAGGCGCAGACTCTGCAGTGAGAGCGGAGGTCTGGCCGGCGCCGCCGGGCCGTCCCCGGCGCCGTCCTCTCCGGCAGCGCTGTCACCGACCAGCCGGCACTCTGTCAGCTCCAGCTGCTCCAGACGCGGACAGCCGGCCAGCAGCTCCGTCAGCGACACCGGCACCGGCTCGCAGAACGACACGGTGAGCGCCGTCAGCTGCCGCAGCTCGGTCAGCAGCTGCTGCAGCTGCCGCCGCGACAGAGACGCCTTCCAAAGCACCAGCCGGCGGAGCGGGGCCTGCGCCAGCCCCAGCAGCGGCGCAGCGCTCCGCAGGCCACCACAGGAGAGCGCCTCCAGCCGCGGACAGGCGGCCAGCAGGGCCGGCAGCCGGCCGGCGGCCGCCGCGTCCTCGGCGCCGCAGCTGAGCTCGGTCAGCGCCAGCCGCAGGCCGGGCTCCAGCGCGCGCAGGGCGCACACGGTGCGCGGCGTCAGCTCGTGATCGGCGCTCTCCAGGGCGGGACAGAGCACCAGCAGCACGGCCAGGCCGCAGCCGGTCACCCGCGCGCCGCGCAACCGCACCTGGCGCAGCGAGCCGGCGCACGCGGCCGGCGGCAGGCGGCGCAGCTCTGCCGGCAGCAGCTGCTCGCTGGACAGGCAGCGGCGCATCAGCTGGTGCCGGTGGTGCTCGGGCACTAGCAGTCGCAGCAGGCCGCGGCTGGTGACGCCCGCGGAGCCGGCCACGTCCAGCCGCCGCAGCAGCGGACAGCCGGCGCCGACTGCCTCCAGCAGGGCGTCCGTGGCGGCGCCGGGCAGCTCCAGCGAGCGGAGCGCCGCCATCCGGCGCAGCAGGCCGGCCAGCGCCTCGAGCTCGCCGCGCACGGGCGCGCCGGCACCGCCCAGCGGCAGCCGCAGCTGGCGCAGCGTGTCGGCCGACGGCGCCAGCAGCGAGTAGCACCGCTCGCGCAGACAGGGCGTCAGCAGCGGCTCGGCCAGCAGGAACCGCTGCAGACCGGGCGCCGCCAGCAGGCCGGCCAGCCGGGTGAGCGCGGCCTCCGTCAGACCGGTGTCAGAGAGAGCTCCGTCCAGCAGCCGCTGGCGGAGGCTGGCTGGCAGGCGGGCGCCCAGCCAGTCGCGCGCGCCGTCCATACCGGCTGACAGGGCGCCCAGATGGCGCAGCGCCGCCGCCTCGCAGAGCTGGGCCAGCTCTGCTGGTGGAGCACGGCGCACCGCATCCATGGCAGGCACTCCCAGCGGCTCCGACGGGCCTCAGAGCACATGGCAGAGTCCAGAACTGCCTGCGAGTTAGAGGCACTAGCTACCATGGCAGTGAAATGAGTCTGAGCATGCACGACGACTGTCATTGTAAGCAGATAGCTTACTTCAGCCATCAAATCCTTACACACAAGGAGCTTGGGCAATGTCACACAAGGTATTAGTATTAGCACCACACAAGTGAAAATAGCTAAAATGTTTCAAGACAACATATTCCAGGGCTATAACTACCTTTTGCTTGCATCCTCTAAAAACTGGAGAATAATACATCTTCTTAGCTTGAAAAGTGGCACCACACACCAATACAATATTGCTTACCTAAAATATTTTCAGGACAGACCCAACAACCCATTGAGTAAGGTAAGGTTAGGTTATGTTACATTGTGTAAGGTAGTCTGCTACATAAGGTTTTGGTATTCCTGCTCTTGGGTCACCTGTTTTGCTTAGGAGTAAATGAAAGTATGAACAATTTTTGGTAGTAGTAAAGCAGGCATCGCACTTGTTTTTTGCAACCAAGGAGAGGTGCTGTAGGTTAGGTTGCAGGTTTTAGGTGGTAGGTTTTAGATTGTAGGTTATAGGTTTTAGATTGTAGGTTGTAAAGGTTAGGTCAGGTCTGGTCTGGTTTGATTAGAAAGCATCTCTGGGTATGCTATAGTGCCTCTCCGTGGTTGCAAAGTGTGATGCCTGCTTTACGACTACCCAATTTTCTAGCTTGGTATATTACACTTTTTGTGATAATATTGTATGGTTGGTTAATTCCTCATTTGCTCACTTTGAATATAAAAACAAGCCATGTTGTCACAAACAACAACCTTACTTGACTCAATGTAGGGGTTTGGTGAAAATTATGAATGTTTTGTGTGAAAAATATCTTAAATATCAATGTGTAGTCTCATTTTTCAACCTCAGAAGGATGTGTTCTTACTCTTCATACTTTTGTTTTGAGAATTTATTGTTTTTTTTTTTTTTTGAAGGGTGCAAAAGGAGGAAATCAATGTGTACATACTTTTTACTCCATTTTGATCCCAGGATGGAAAAGGTGACTTTCACCTGTAACAGTCCTAAGCATTTGGAAAACCAAAATTTTGACATCACAATACACATCACAAACACACTAGACAGTACACTACCAATGGGAGTATCTTTGGTTTGGAAAAATGGCCATATGTTAGAGGGACAACCAGCATTTGAAAATGATAAACATAAAACACACAAACTGAAACCATGCTCCGGAGGATACAAACTAAGGCAAAAGTAATAGCACTCAATCCTAATTCATGCTCATTTTCTGCTTCATTACCTGATCCTAGAACAATCAGAGTCTTCACTGGTTCACCTTGGGTTACTTCCATCACCAATTTGCCTCTTTCATTAATTTAAATGATCCAGAGATACCGGAAGACCATACCCTGCCTCGATATTTGAAATAATCTGAATAATCAGAAAGAGCTAAGCCCAGGAGAGCTGAGGCATGTATGCATGTAAAATGTTGATAAAATGCATAAATGCACTATCGAATACACTGAACTCTATAAATCGAATAATAACAGCAATGTCTTTTCTGCGCAATTTATGTATAAAAACGAAGCTTATTTTGCAGACAAACTTTGTAATCAAAAGTGTAAAACTAAAACACTATACGGTCTATTATTTACAGAGCATGCTTGATTACTTATAACGTATAATGCAAAATATTAATACCTTATGTATAAGCCTATGTAACTTATAACTAGATAACTTATAATACCAACAATAAATAATATGAATGGGCGGCAAGCTGAAGTGAAGACTGACCTGACACTGGCAGGACCGGCAGGAAAATGAAGAAAAGCAATGATCTCTGCCCTTGCTAAAAAAAAAACAGCCAAATAAATTTGATTTCTCAGCCTCAATACTGTTGAAAATGTTATCTGTAGACTGTAAGAATCTTGGAAAATGTTATGAAGCCAGACGCTCCCATTTGAACGTCGGGTTCGCGAATCTATAGTTGTGCACACGGCCGATAGATGTCAGTAAAATGAGAGCTTCGGGGAGGCGCCTGGGTACAAAATAAGCATCGTGGGTACAGATGTACCAAAGATTTATAACAGACGGTTGCTGTTGCCAAGATTCTTACAGATATGCTGTAGTGTGTAGGTAGGGGTTGGGTAGGGGAAGGAGGGTGAATTCTTGGGTGAATTGCGCCACCTTAAGGAAAAACGCTAATTGTAAGAAAACCGCTGGAGATATAAGCATGTACTGGTAACCATTTCAAAGAGGAACTCATTGGCTACGATTTAAGAGCCTCCCGATCAATTAAGAATGTTTCGTTTGCTTCTGACAGCTGCGTTTTCAGAAACATGCAAAAGGGCGCATTTGCCAACAACTGCTGTAAATTGCGCCAGGGGATGGCGCAATTAGAACCCAATTGCGCCCTATACTTAACATGGCTAAGCGAATGAGACGGAATGCAATCACCCCGGCAGTGTAATATCATTGCGGCTTATTTTAACATTCATAATGTTATTCACGCTGGTTAAATAAAAAATGTAGGTGTAAATCGCGATGTTTTTTGCCCAGGTAGATAACTTTACCTGTGTCCGTACGCTTGTAAAAGTGCAACGAAAACGTTTACTGTAACCGACTAGATATATGTGAACGTATCCGCCATGTACGGTTACATTTTCAATCGTGTCTCTCAAAATTAATAATTTTTATCGTTTCGACAGCTTTTTTCAATCGTGTCTCTCAAAATTAATAATTTTTATCGTTTCGACAGATTTACGACATCAGTTTTTACTTTTTTATCATAGCTGTCACCTCTCACGCCTGAGTTTATGTTGAAAATGTCGTATTTTGTCAATTACACCACAAGTTCGTAGCCTAAATGGCAGCTGCATTATAAGTTTGACGAGAGAAATAATTTGCGGACTGGCGACAGCGGGCTGCTCCCCTGCCTGGCATTACACTCCTTCTTTATGGCAACGTGATACAATAGCTACAACATTATTCTATTTGCGCCCCCTGTCGCAATTGCCATGGGCGCATTTAAAATTGAGGTACTTTTTAATAAAAGCGTAGAAGATAGCTTACCTCCAAGAAGTTATCATAAAGATGTTGAAGGAGGTTTAGTGTATCAGTGAAATATAATGAAAAAAAGGGTTTTTTCTTTCTAAATATTACTCTGAAAATGACAAATATCACAAATTTTATAGCCAACGGTTCAAAATAGGCACCTACTGCAAAAAAAAATAAGAAAACGCCGTAACATCTTTGATGGCGTAATGAGCCTTGCTGATTGGCTTCATAGGAGAGCTTGGGTCATAAAAGGAACTATCCAGTGGGGAAAATAATGTTTTCGAACACAAAATTCAAAACATGCCATTAGTGAATCCGTGGGAATGTTGGTGGGCGCAATTGGTTAGAAGGGTGCAATACACCCACTTTCCTCTATATGACATATGTTACAGGGAGTTTGAGAAATCTGTGAGTTGGATAAATCTGTGAGTTGGAGTTTGCAAACTAGACCATTCATGAGTCTGACATCTTTTGGACGCCCTGTTTCTCCGATGTAAATTTCACCACATTCACATTGCATTTTATATATCGTAGGGGAAAGTGGGGTAAGACGGTTAGGGTAGGTAAGACGGGTGCACCCCTTCTGCAGACCAAACCAATAGCGCTACGCCAGCGAGAAAAATTAGGACCAGAATTGCCTTTCCCACTACACACCACCATTCAAGTCTGGTGAACTTGTGTTCAGTCGATAATCTTTTATTTTGATTTCTTTAAAACACTCATTTCATTGAAAACATCCATAATGTATTGTGCAAGCTTTTGTGTGCAGCACTATAGAGCCCGCGCCCCGTAGGGGGGGGGGGGCGAAACGGCCCCCCCTGTCCTTTTCCGTCGATATCTCCCAAACGGCTGGAGATATCGCCACCAAACTTTCAGGACCTCTCCGGGCATCAATTTTACACATTGTGACCAAATGTTTTTTCAGAGGCTATGATTGGTTGGCCACAAATGACGTCAGAATGACGTCATGTTCTGCCATTTTCGACCGAAAAAAGACCTTCGCAAGAAGAGCTGTCAGGCCTACAGCTTTGAAGACACAGAAAAATGATCAGACAAAAAGGTGTAAAATTGACAGGGCTACAAAACTGCTGTCTCGAATTTTTTGAACTTTTTGAGTTTTGACCCCCAAAAATCAAAAAAGCAATTTTTTGATATATTAGACAAAAAATCCAGAAAGTTTTTTGAGTTTCGAAAAAACCGGAATATATGTGATAGCACCTACCGTCTTCTATCTACATACCAAATTTCAGATCAATATCTCGTTTTTTGGCCAGGTTATAGCGAAAAAACTGTTCAAAAATGATGACGTCAAATTTTCCAACTCAATTTTGTCAATTCTAGACCCCGTAAGGCAAAACAAAGACCACCATTAGACTCCCCGTGACGAGCTGCATCGAATCGATACCCATTTTATGCAAAACTATCAAATTTGAAATTTGACCTAATTTGACCTGACCTTGACCTGACCTTCACCAAAACGTGACCTAAGCTGGCCCCAATGGCTGCCTGACCTGACCCACATAATCGCATTTGTCATGTAAAACGGACAATAAAACATGAATCACACGACACTTTCATATTGTTACCCCCAGTGACCTGACCTCTGTGACCTGACCTGGTATCAGTGACCTCAGATAGCGAAGTATGTGTTTGACGAACAATGTACCATCGATGGTTTTCAATAAATTACCAATTTACTCGATTTCACAACACATTTCTTGAAATGCCTGTGAATGGTGAAAATCTGACCTTTGACCTGACCTGTGATGTCATCGGTTTGACCTAGGTCAATGAAATTTGGTCACAAGGTAGTTCCCTGGTGGGGATATCGAACGCCGTTTGAATTTTGAAAATCGGCCGGTAAATTTCCGAGATCTTAAGGGGGCCGAAACGCCCCCCCCCCCCTACGGGTGGTAGGGTCTGCCGGTAGCCCTACGGGGCGCTTAAAAGCTTGCAATCACTTGTGGTACACTCATATGCCACCAGTGTTCATTTACCGTGGATTTGCTTTGTCTGCATCAAATTGTCCACAGAGAAAAATCGTGCTGAACTTCTGACATTGAGTTTGGGGTAAGACGGGCAACTATGAATCCAATGGGTCTGTTATAATGGTGAAAATGTTTTTGTTGCCGTATGAAAAAAAGACACATTTCTGAAAAGAATAAGTTCGATTCCGATACTCACAGACATGTTAGCAATATTCCTTCGGCACAGTTTATTCTCGAATAATGAATGTGAAAAACGGTTCTACATAGCTTCTGACTAGGGCCTATCTATATACGAGTATATGTAAGCGTCTAGCCCCGGCCGCTGGCGTCAGAGGCACACGCCGAACTCGGAGCCAACCAAGCGTGTATTCAGCACAAGCAGACAACAAACAAATTGAAACGCCCGTTCAAGCAGGCGCAATCCAAGCACATCTCGATCCTCGCCATGTCGCGGCGCACCGAATTCCCGCTCTGGACGCGACGGGGGCTCAACGGAAATTCGGCTGCTCTCTCATTGGTCAGAATAAGCGGTTACCTGATTGGCTCTCGCGTGGCGCGCAGCTACATCATTGGACGAAATCATTACAGGAAGTCTAAAACTCTTCGGATAAGAAATATGACACATAACTAAAGAAACATTGGTACCGATCAATATCAAATAATAAAATAGTCATTACAAATCAGTATCATAACTAAATAGCACTAACCACGCGACAACAAACCAAGGACATTATTGCAGCACAGGACGAATTTAGAGTTGCCACTTTCACTTCTGGTAGGCCCAGTATCCGCTCGCATAACATGTAAGCGGAAATCCGCTTACACCCTTCCTCCCTAACGCGAAGAGACTTCTCGATTATTTACACATACAATACAACGCATCGACCTACGAACAAAGGAACTTTTTTTTTTAACTGGACGGCTAAACATGTTCGGTCTCAACTGAATAACTCCGTATTGCAGCTCAGCTCGTGCGCTTCTCCATTCGCTAGAGAACTACCTAGGTGCCCATTGTACAGAGGTAACACTAAGGCTCGCTTGCAGCTGTTCTTACTACGATAGGAATCTCAAGTCAAGTTATCGCCCAATGTCATTGCCTTTCACCCAGTATTAAACATTAAAAACGACAGCAGCACACAGCAGCTCTGTGTGATAGGTACCCACAACGGAAAATCACGGCGAATACCTGTCGGGAGGAATGACTACTCGTGTTGACCTACGCAATTCGGGACTGCGCATATCTGCGGTAACCTGAGTGTTCGCCACGTCGGGCGGCACCTCTGCTGCTCCAGTCGGAGCTGAACCTGCTATCGGTTCTGTGACTCCCTCTGGCGTCTCACGTGTCTCACGCGCTGTCTCTGTCTGAACTGGGGGTGTCTGCGGGGCGAAAGATATGGCGAACGGATTCAGCAGGGACAGGGCCGGCGGTCCTGAGTCGTCAAGACTAGCGGCGTCAGCTGGTTGGCAACTAGGCCTACCTTCACACTGCGCACCACTTACCCTCTGATTGTCACTGACACCATCCATCCTCCTTCGGCCTGTCGGAAAGGTCACGCCTGCTGCTGTCCTGACAGCCGGCTGTGGTCTCGCGGCGGGGTCCGCCCGTGAGACGGACGCTGTCGGTGCGGTCACCGGTGACTCACCTTCTCCGGTATCCACTCGAGGCTTCAACCTGTTGTGGTGTACGATGAGCGTAGACCTAGCTCCTTCTAGTCTGATCCTATAGTTCAGAGGACCGACCTGATCTACTACTACTGCTCTCTTCCAAGGACGCAAAAACTTATAATACTGACCGCGCGGAACGATTCCCTTATGCAGATACACTTTGTCTCCAGGTAGGTAACTATTCTCATTTAGCTTTCTATCATAAATCTCCTTGTTCTTCTGATGACTTCTGTTCGAGTTCTCTAGTGCTA